ATTCTAGAAACTGATCAAACTTATTCAATAAACAGGGAAATATTTATCCAGGGAGACTTACTGAAGCTTACAAAAAAGCTGTGGTGTTTGGCTTGAGCTTGCTCCCCTATCTCGTCCTTCCCTAACCACTCGAGTTCAGTGACGATTCAGTTCCTCGAGGGCAGGGCAGGCAGAGAAGCCACTATCCCTACTGCAGGAAGCTGAATATTTTGGAGCAGAATGTAGGAAAAAAAAGCAGGAATGAAGAAGTACTGCTGAAAACTACCAATCACGGGGGCAAACCACTACAGAAGGCCAAGGTTGTAGCTAACCTGGGGCTGAAATTCTAGTTGTGGTGAGTGAAGAAGGAATGAACAGCTGTAAATCCAGTAGTAATCTGAGATTTGACCTAATAACTACACTCCTAGGTGCTTGCACAAAGACAAGTGAAAACAGTTGCTGGGAGCAGGCATTGTAGCCTTTGTGTCATTGGGGCACAAAAAGGTGCAAAGAGAAGGGCTTCCTGCTGGCAAGGGTTCAAGGCCCGGTAAATGCCTCTCTGGCTACTTCAATGTAGTTTCAATCCCCAGAAATCCGTCGATACATCGTTATTTGCCATTGTGAGGTGGTCTCTGTGACTGATGTGGGTTTAGGAACTAATGTCACTAACAAAGTCCTGGTGTGTGGGCCTCTAACAATTTATGCTGTCTTGGCCAGTCCCATGACCCTTTCGCTGGAGGAGTGCAAGGATTTTTGTACTAACATTGTAAAACATGCTTTCAAACTAATTAAGGGGTTGTTAAGCCTGTGGTTGTAGTGGAAATTTATGTTTAAAGTTTTTTAGTTTTTGATCTTTATGTTTTTACCTTTGTAATATATTTTCTCCTTTAAATGATAAATTATAGAAAGAGAAATCTAATAGGAGTGTATTACTGATTAATATGTGCTGCCAGTTGAGGAATTCCTGGCTGCAAGATCACAATGGATAATAGCCTTCTTTACACTTGATCTTAGCCAAAAGGCTGAGAAGCAATAATAGCGTTCTTTAAAGTGAAACAATTTGCAGATTTATCTTTGGAAACACCCATTTGACTATGATGTTTTAAAAAAAAAAAATCTGCGTGAAAGCTTGTGAGTTTTTCTGTATAAATAAAGGGGGACAGCTTTGTTGCACAGCCCACTAAATTCACAGAATTGTAATGGTCCAGCTCTTCTCTTCTTATCACTGGCTCCACACATACCTCTCTGAGCTCTGAATGCAGCTGGACCTGGTCTTTGGCAAAGAGTCACAGCATTACTGTCCAGAAACTGGAAATCAAATTTCCACCAAACAGGTAAATGGGGAAAAAAATCACACGTGGTTCATCTACACAAGTGTCAACAACCATTGCCTTATGGGAATCCCAAAGTTGAAGCGTGTAGTGTCTGGTCTAAAATCCCCTTGGTTAGCACACAAACTCCCAGCCCTCTTGCTCTATCTCTATCGCGCATGGCACATGCTAAGCATTTTTCCGTAAAAGATAATTTAGCTACTGCTCCCTCTCCAATTGGATTATGCTAAGAACTGTAAAACTCTGTACAGCTATGAAAAATCTTCAATTGCATACTTTTAACAGGTAGATTTTATATATTACCTTGATAAAGCTGCTAATAATGACAAAGAACTTAATGGACCAAAGAAGATAAGATGCTTTATGTTTGTCTTAGGGTTAAGTGAAACTATGACACACCAGGCATTCCTATGAAAATGGCCCAAGCTAAAATAACCACCAGGTGCTGGCAATAATTTGGTGAAACTGCAACCTTCATCCATGATAATGTAAAATGATACAGCCACTTTGGAAAAACAGTTTGTCATTATCTGAGAAAGCTAAACAAATACTTACCATACAACTCAATAATTTTACTTGTATTTATTGAAAATAAATCACATGCCCACACAAAAATTTGTATACACATGTTCATAGCCACTTTATTCATAATAGCCCTAAACTAAAAAAACAGTCCATGTGCCCACCAACAGGAAAATAACAACAAATTGGAGTATATTTATTTGTACAATGGAATCCTACTCAGCAATGAAAAAGAGCTACTGATTCAAGCAACAACATTGATTCTTGTCACAAATACTATGCTAAGCAAAATGAAAACTTACACAAATGAAGCATACACTGAATGGTTTCATCAAATCTACAGCAACACAAAGCAGACCAATGGTTGCCTATGCTTAAAAGGGTAGATGGATGGCAATGGATTGGAAGGGATTTGAGCTAACTTGTGAGGGCTGATGGAAGCGTCCTCTAGTTGTGGTGACCACTCAAGTGCTGTATGCTTTACAGTGGATTTTTCTGTTGTATACAGACCACAGCTTCATAAAGTTGCTTTTAAAAAGCAGTGAGGGGGCCTGGCGCAGTGGCGCAGTGGTTAAGGTCCTTGCCTTGCACACCCGGGATCCCATATGGACGCCGGTTCTAATCCCAGTAGCCCCGCTTCCCTTCCAGCTCCCTGCCTGTGGCCTGGGAAAGCAGTCGAGGACAGCCCAAGGCTTTGGGACCCTGCACCCGTGTGGGAGACCCGGAAGAGGCTCCTGGCTTCAGATCGGCATAGCATCGGCCCGTTGCACTCACTTGGGGAGTGACTCATTGGACGGAAAATCTTCCTCTCTGTCTCTCCTCTCTGTATATCCGCCTTTCCAATAAAAATAATAAAAATAAATCTTAAAAAAAAAGCAGTGAGGAAAAAAACTTGGTCAGAAAACAACTCAGTTCTTATGGAAGAAAATAGGATTCTGAACAGAGACAAACCCTCAGGTAGCATTAGGTGGCCAACGTTAGTCCAACTCTACTCTTCAGAGTAATGACCTCTGCTTTCTCCTTTGTTCTACCTGCACTGACTCATGGCAGAGTCTTGCACAAGATAAGAAGCTACTGCCAGATGCTTAGCTAAATAGTTTTTCACTAATTGTTTGGATGTGTGGAAGGCCTCATGCAATACCTATAAAATGCATGTGAAGTATGTTTGAGTTTAATTGACCAATCTTAGGAATACTAACTCTTATGCTCCGAAAGGATCAGGACTACCTTTTCTTCTGCATCAGAGCACACGCCTGCCTTTTGTGGTCTCTTCCATCAGTGTGCAACAAATAAACCACATTTTTCAGCATGACAGTATTTCAAAAGATCAATCAACACCACTCCAAAAAATGAAAAGCAGACAAGTTAGTTACATATTTAGCCCTCAGTGGCTTTCTAGTGATTGAGTGAAACAGAATTTGAGTTCTAAACTGCTACATTTTCCCATTCCTCTTGTGTTCTCTGCTGCGTACAGTCAGTGACTGCTTGTAGTTGCCACTTAGCGGAAAATAAAGTGGATAAATGAAGACATTTTTATTCAGTTTTGAATGTCAAAGTTGAGGTTTAAGTTCAAAGCAGGAGACAAGAGCTTTGGGAGCCAAAGGGCTTGGCTTGTTGCAGCAAACTGAACTTCCAGGAATCTACCAGCTCTTTTTAAACAGATTTATTTGAAATGGGGAGAAGTGAAGAGGAAGAGAGGAAAAGGGGAGAAGGAGAGGAGGAAGAAAAGGAAGGAAGGAGAGGGAGAGAATATGTAAAACACAAACTCTGCTGTGAAATCAAAGATCAGAATGCGGCTGAACAGGCAGGTTCTCCTATGAATCAGAGGTGGGAAGAAAGCATAATGGTTATCACAGCAGCTTTCTAGTGAAAAAGTGGAGATTTCAAGCAAGGAAGAAACAGAAATAAAGGGAATGTAGTTAGAATTAGTCGATAGGTCTGAGGCATGCTTGGTGGTGTCTTTACCTGCTCTTGCGTTAACATTCTGTTTTGGGACATGTGAGAAAATCCAAGTTAGGCTGTACATACTAGCTAGCAAAACAGAATCTTACTAGAATAATCAAAATCAAAACTTCGGCGGTAGAGTGTCAAAGACTTGAGTGCATGAAGAGCTTCCTCTGTAATCCCTCCCTCTTGAGTTGATCTAGTGTTTAGCCAGTCATCGCAAACCACTGCCTTATGGTAATCCCAAAGGAGAGCAGAGTGTCTGGTCTACCTTACACATAGGTAGCCCAATCTCACAGATAAACTCCTGGCCAACCTCTACTGCACCTCTATCCAGCATGGCAGATCAGCACAGAATCCCGAGGCAAACTGAAAAGCGTCTTACTGAAGATAACTCAAACTGACTACTGGTGGGTGCCTTTCCTACTGGACTCTTAAGAAGAGTCTCAACTTTGTAAATAAGGTGAATGATGGACAAATTTAATCAATAGTTTAAGCACAGGCATGGCAGAAAATCAGAGCCTTATACTTATGAAAATATCTTGGCAAAGCTCAGCACAGGGACCAAATTTGACCAGAACCACTCTTCTGCACTGTCCACAATTCTTACTGATCAACTGGCTAAAATCTCACACAATATACCAACTTCTAACTATAAAACTGGCTAGTGATTCAAACCCTGTGTTCTCACCAATAATCTGTACAGTACTATTTGGGAATAGACAAAAGATTCCACTACCATTAAGACTTTTCCAACACTTCTCACTGAAAAAAACAAACAAACAAAAAAAACAACTGAGAAACTGCTTCAGTTTATTCCTGGCAGCTAAAAAGTAGTTAAATAAACTTTAAAAGAGACCCAAGAGTAACCACAAATTGGAGAGGCCGTTGGAAATATGCAGAGAGGAGAGTGGTGGCCTGGCCTGGTAGCTAGAGTCTTCGCCTTGTATGCACTCAGGATCCCATATGGGTGCTGAATCATGATCTGGCAGCCCCGCTTCCCATCCAGCTCCCTGCCTGTGGCCTGGGAAAGCAGTTGAGGACAGCCCAAAGCCTTGGGACCCTGCACCGTTGTGGGAGACCCAGAAGAAGCTCCTGGTTCCTGGTCTTAGATCAGCTCAGTTCTAGCCTTGGCAGCCACTTAGGGAGTAAATCAGAGTCTGTATACCTGATTTTCCAATAAAAATAAATACGTCTTTTTCTTTTTCCTTTTTTTTTTTTTTAAAGAGAGAAGAGTGGGCAGAACTTTCTGGAGGAGCCTCATCTACTCCTGTGCTGCCCAAAAGAATTTTGCCCATTAGAAATTAGCCGTTTAAGATGGTTAAGCATTTAAACATCTTAGCCCTGAATAGAGGTATGTCACAACTGAAATACATGCTAGAGTGTAGATATTGAAAAAACAGGTCTCATGATCATCTGTACTGACCACATGTTGAAATGTCAACAGTTTGGATATTCAATTTACAGAACATTTTAGAATTGTGTTCCTTTGGACTACACATGTCTGAATTCTAACAAAAGATTAACTAGTATCATCTGATATCCCTGACTGACATCATCTGAGCATCTACAAATGTATTCATGTTTTAATTCAAGTGCTAATAAGTTATCGTGAAAGGTTCATGACAGCTATTTGATATTTTTCTGAGGCAAATTTACACTGATAACACTGTACAGTCTACATTTGTTACCCAATAATACCCCAGGTATTACATGACCAAGTCAGTCAGAAAACATTAGACTCTCAAACTGACTTTATTTGAAAGATATATCTTTGGTTACGTACCCTAAAATTCTATACAACACTAAACACTGAATTCAAAAGTTTGTGGAAAATATAATTATACAAATGAGGCAATATACAGAACTTAACTCATTTTTATAATTATAGCATCATTGGAGTACTGCAGATATTATTTTTATACATTTGATCTGAGAAATCAAGTCTTGAACCATCTAGATATATTTAGCAAATGTGAGGATGACCTTTGAGGTGTTCCATCTCTACTACACTCACAGGCCTTTGTAGGAATTCCTGGTCAAGGCAGTCTTGAATAATCTACAAGAGAATCTCAGAAAGCTTGGGTGGTGTTTCCGTGAACATGTATTAGGTTCAGCGAGTCTGTGGGGCGAGTGGTCTCCTTGACCCACAAAGATAGGCCAAAGTCAGTGCTGCTCCTCCAGTCCTCATTTCCTAGCCTCTGCCAAGCAGAAGAAACCATGACATGGTCCACAGCAACACACATATTTCCAAGAAAATATATACTTCGTTTAGTCTTCCTCTTACCTAGCCTGACCCAACCCACCTTAACAGTAACATCCGTTAGGACAGCAGGATCCACCTGCCCTTATGTCTACTTCTTTAAATAAAGGCCTGCTTCCCAAAGTAGTTTTGTCTCAAATATCTGACAAGAATGGCATAATGTAAAGGGTATGGGACAAATCTATCAAAGAGAAAACCTTAAGAATGACTCAAAGCACATCACAGCTATGTAAGCAACCCCATTCTAATGGTGTAAACAGCCAGACGGCGATCAACAGCAACTAACCAAGCCAGCTGTTACTGAACTAGCTTAGTGTAAATCATTCCCCATTCATTTACAGACCCTCTTAACACACACACACACACACACACACACACACACACCACATGCCTTACTTTCTCACAACTTGCCAACTAGCCCCTGTCTTGTTTCTTTCTGAAGGATCTGCCCCGCTCTGGTATCTCCATTTAAGATTCAGTTTTTTCGCTTTAGAATTGTGTTCCTTATCTGTGTCTCTAGAAGATACTACTAGGATAATCACCTTTTTCTAGGTAGATTCAACCCTTCAGGATACTGAGAAAGAACAACCAGACTGTGATTCCTTAAATTCAAACTGCCAAGGTGAGTCAATTCTACCCCTCAAATCTTTACTTCCTTCCTTCTCTGCTTTACCCAGTGCCATTGTCTTAATTCAGTCTCTCATCATCTTGCCTGAAACACTGTAACCTTCCTTCCTAACAGCTTTCTCTGCCTTCACTCACATCCCTCTATAAGCAGAATGTAAATCTTTTTCTTACTCAATTTGACATACTCATTTCTTCACAATTTGCTGTTTGTTGATCTCTCTAGACATATTAACTAAGACTATTTTTTTTTATCATACTTCTGTATGTGAATATCCTTTCCAAACTTCTACTTCATATGTTATGTTCCTCTATCCACATACTGTAGAGCTATGACGTTTTATTGTTTTATTTTCATTTTTAGAGTTTAATCATTCTGTTGCCTAGTCTGAGTTTGGTAACTCTGCTTTACACCTTCACAACAGTTGGTATCTATCTCTTATCATAGATTATGTTATCTTCCATACACAGTCATTTATATGTCATTGCTGTATTCTAGTCAGCTGCAGTCCACAGAATCAAGTAGTGTCCAATGTGCAGTTGATAAAATAGTAAAGTCACCAGGCTACAGTACCAGCAGGTATCAGAACCTATAATGTTCTCTGTTACATCTAGGCCTCTTTATATACACCAATTAGAGTCTAAGTATTACTACTACAACTTATGATTACAGAAACTAACAAAAATTGTTCATAAACGGGTACATATATCTCTACTATTTCTACTAGCTACTAACACTAGGTATTTCCCATGTGTCTGGTCTTGTACATAAGTATCTTTCCATTTACTACTGACGTAGAAAACAGAATTATTATCTCCTTTAAAAAGGTAAGGCACAGGGAAATCATCCTGCCTAAAGCCTGGTTAAGACAGGCTGTCTGGCTCCAGAATCCATGTTCTCCACCACTTTAATGCAAGCCTTAATACCGCCTATATCGTAAAAGCTATGCTTCAAAAGATTATGCTTCTTTTAAAAACATAATGGAATGTTACCTAAATTTAAAAGCTAAAATTATGCACTAGATCATCTCCGAAAACTTAAAAGCTCTCCAAACACATTTCAATTACAAAATTTCCAAAAACTTGTATAGAATTTCAAAGTACATCTTTACTTAGAGTTAAAGTGATGAACAAAGATCTATTTTTTCATTGCTACTACAGATTTTTTAGGTTGTTACAGAATTTAAATAATTTTGGAATCAACTTTATCATGAAGTATATAGAAAAATAAAGAAGCCATGACATCAACTGATTTATGGTGACTCTTCAGTATTGAGATATTGGTCAGTTTTATTGTAATGTCAACTTCTAGACATAGGTAGGACTATGACAAATTTCCTTCAAAGAATTCTTTTATTTTCTATATCTAAATAATGGGATAATTTAGCAAGATCATTTTGAATTTTTATTTATTAAAATGTAAATAATGAGTTGCTCCACTTGACTTTAGAACATATCAAAACAAGCTAGTCCTGATACATTTTCTTAATTTCTGGTGATTGATGCTTTTGATATCTTATTTATCAGGAAAATACTTGTCTAATAGAGAAAATCAGGAAACAATTACAGCAGAGTTTTGGAAACCACAAATAAAGCAACAGAGGAAATAATTATTATTATCATAATTTTTAGACACTGAAACTCAAAAACCCACTGAAAAGAAATAAAATGTAATGAACTGATTATCTGTGCCATCACTGAATTCTAAAATCTCTTCTGCATCTCCCCACAGGGTCTGGTCACTGCATTATACGCACACAGATACTTAAAAAGCTATCACCTGGCAAGTACATCTTTTAAGATTCTGGCACCAGGTTTACTGATCACAGCATACAGCTAAAAACATAAATCTTCAGTACCTATTTAACTTTAGCATACCAAATCAGAACAGACGAGCACAAAGAATTAGCAATAGCAAAATTTAGACACTTCCGGTGCCAAGACTTGGGTCTTGACAGGGGCCTCTCAGTGCAGGGCAGAGCTGAGAAACAGTTGGTTAATAAAGACTGCAACGTCACTTCCATTTTTTTCTGTTTTTATATAGGGGGGTGTTAATTTATGTTACGCTGTTCTCTGACTCTCAGGAAACAACCAACCAAAATCTACTCAATTATTAATTATTGATCTAAAGTCAACAATAATTTAAGTATCTGAAAATAACCAACTTAACTACAGTAATGCTGCAGTCTCAACTAACACTAAATATTACCACATTTGGTTGTCTTCAATGCCATTTACTTTCCACAGAGAAGCAGTTGACTTAGGAGACAAGGTACTTCTCATTTAACAAAAGAATCCTGAAATATACGAACAGTATTCAGCTTCTTGTCTCAAGTAGACATTCACAATACTGTGTTCAAAGTACTATCTTGGTAAGTTATCACTAAAAGCCTTACCAGCTGTTCCTGAATATGAATCACTACTAAGAGTAGATCAAATAGCAATTCCCTCTAAAGAAAACCAAGAGCAACTTAGTTTCAAAAAGAAAAGACCTGGGTAGAAGAAGCAAGCAGATAGTAAATTAGACAATTTAACTGCTGCTATTCACAACATAGCAAAGATGACAGAAGTTACATACCCCACCCCCCAAGTAAATAGAATGAGACAAAAGGGGAATGAATCAAAGATAAGATACTGACATGCTAATTTTTAAACTAAGAAAATGGCTGTACATAAGGGATTCTTCACATCTAATCATTCACTGTCAGCACATACAGAGCTCCTCTCAGAATAAATCAAAATGGAAAGAAAATGGCCCAGATGAACTACAGATTTCCTATGATCTAGAGAGCAGAGTTCTCATATAACTCACATAGGCACCACTGGCTTCTGTGTAGTTTTAGATAGTTCCTGACAATCTGATTGATAAGGAAATTTCCTCTGTGAAAGAATAAGATGATTTAGACAACATCATCAATGAACAGTATGCATGTCAAGTTATGTTAATTCAATCATATTCTTGAGTTTTAAACAGTCTCCTGCTTTGCTCCAATGTATCTTACACTGGGAAAATTTTCCTCTTTCACTTTCCAAGTCAGTGCACCAAACTAAGCAATATTTACATAGAATTTACAATCTTTCATTTATAGGAATATCTATCCTTATGTCTTGCTATGATATCACGAATGCTCTTAAGCTTCACTATATCCAAACATTAAAACATAGCTGTTGAGTCAAACAAGCTCTGAAAAAGAATCTTCCACTTTTATGGACTGATTCAAACTGAAATATTTACAAAAGACATACTATAAATGTGCTGAAGGTGGTTGTCAGTCATTTTTGGACTGGTGGGTGAAAAAGGAAACAATTGCATAACATTTAAAAGAACTATAAAATGTGCATTAACAAAGTAAAAGCTGTGTATAACCCAAAGTTAACATAACTTTAAATCTTGTTTTTGCTATCACAAAAAAGTCAATTATAAAAAATTATTGTTTCTATTTCAGAGACAAACATTGTTCTTAAAACACAATTTATAATCTGATTTGTAACCAAATCTAAGAAACATAATGAAAACTATGTTTACTCTGTTTCTCTGGCAAACAGCCAAAGGTAAAATAACAATTTATTCTAGAACATTATGGCCAAGTCCAAATTTCTAAAAGGGCCCAGCCAAAGTAAGATGAGTCAAAATTGGCAATAATTCCATAACGGAAGCAGAGTGGCACAAAAGTGAAATCTGGGGACATACTGCTTTCCATAGATCCCGGGATCTCATCTGCAGGTTACTCACTGTTTACTGTGTGTCTCTATAGTATTTTAGTTGTCCAAAATTCCAGCTATTTAAACATATAACATGAGCCTATGTCTTTCTTACACTATTCTGTATCTGCATATAGATTTGGAAATATTAGAAGTGACATTATGTAGAGTACTACTTACAATTTCAAGAATAACAACTTTGATTAAAACTTGGAACACTTGGGTTTTACAAACTTTTTTTTTTCTTTAATTTCTCCACTGTTAGTTTCAGAAAGGCATTGGAGATGGAATTTAAGGTAAAAATGCCAACTTGTACATTTCAACAACAAAAAGAGATTGCTATAAACAGATTTCAGTAAATACTGATTGAGGAAAACATAATAATCAAGTAGCAGCTGACATGACAAACACTGCACTTTCTTTAAAACCACTGGAGCTTCTATTGTAGCAGCTGCAGCACAGAAGGCTATGACTAACAGAGGCTGACTAGTAAGACTGATCCAAAGCCAAAAAGGAAAGGTGAGCTCAAGTCAACAGTTAGCCAACTGTATCAGAAACCAACTCCCGGGAGAATACAAACAGTTGGTTACCATGGCTGTAATCAGTGTCTTTTGAAAGGAAGATGCCAATATTATTATCACAACAATATACCAGCAGTAGAAAACAAATTATTTACATCTAAGAGGTTTTACTTGGGAGGGGAGCAGTGTGAAAGCCTACAAAATTGAAAATGTGAAAGAAAGCAGATTCAAATTAAGGTTTCATAGCAAAAAGAATAGCTCCTTTGAGGAAGAACATCTTCCCTAACTAGTTGAGAAGCACCTATGGGAACTGTGCTGTCAGCTGTCACAATGGAGGTTTTGGATTCTCTTAGCAATTGCAGCATTAACAAAAGGCATTTCACAGCATAACCGTAGGGAAAATGTTATCCAGTCTAAAATCACACAGACAGCAATTAAAAACTTTTAATTATTTATAATATACAAATTTGTATGGGTAGCAGCAGTTGCTCCTGTACTTGCCCTTTTAAAAAATGTGAAACAGAAGCAACAGAGGAAAAAATCCAGAAGAGTAGCAGCATTAAAAAAAAAAAAGCAAATACTTAAATACATAAAAGAAAGCTTAAAATACGGAAATATACTGTGCAACTTCCAATTATACCAAGTAAAGTGCACCGCCTAAATACCACTGATAACATTTCCCCTTCGTCAAAACACAAGACTTTCTTACTAGTATTTTCAATGTTAAAAAAAAGACACTGCTATGTCCCTGATAGCTCTCTTCCAGTACTTCTAACAATTCAGATATATTATTGGGAATATTTATTCACATAATGTTGCTTAATACATTTTCTTTCCATATAAGACTTAATTTAAAAGCCTCTATAACATTTTCAATTATAATAACACATTAATAAATTATAAATTCACAAAATCATATTTGCTTTAAAAATCATTTATCAAATGCTAATCTCCAGATTATCTGGAAAATTAAAATTGCTATAAACCTGGCATCACAATTAAATTCTGATTTTTAAAAGTATACAAAATATCCCTCAAATTATTCCAGGCTCCACTTCAGAAAATTTTAGTTTAATCTTTTCATAAGTTATTAAATTTACAATCAAACACTTGGCCCAAAATGTGGGAAAACTGCCTGGAGATGCAAAACATAATAAAATAATTACACGAAAAGAATAAACAAAAAATACCCGTTAAAATAAAGTTATTTTATCTGGCAGTACTTTAAATTGGTAATTCATATTTCTGAAAAAAGTTGCATAGCTGCAAGATGATTCACGGCTGATTAACTGCTGAGCAGTTCCTTTGGAAAAGAAACAACATTTCATAAACTACAATTCAGTAGACAATTCCACATTTAATTAAGATGTGATTATGTAATTTGATTTACTCTTTGGACTGCATTCTGATACTATTAAACCTTTAATTTAAAAACATTAACATATTTTAGCTTTCCTATGTAGAAGTCATTTTCCACTATTTGGGGGAAAAATGGAAGAACTTGAGATCATACTCTACATTCAGAGAACGTTTTACTGCTTGATTACATTTCTCAGTTTCACATTTAAGACTTTAATTTATAAGAATTATGTGGCTTTCAGCTTAAGAATAGATACATACAGAAACATTACACTGGGAAAACACAGACCCCCAAAGTAGAAAAGGAGAACAAACCAAAACACAACCAGGTGCGCAGCTCTAGACAACCTAATAAAAGGTAAATCAACTTGGAAAGCAGTTAACTTTGGCGTCTGAATACAAAATGTTTCTCAGTGTTACCTATGTGGATGACTATTACGGATGTGCAGCATTGCCAGAGCCCCTGTGCGTCCTTGCTCTGTGTGTTTGGGGCTGAGTTCTGGGCTAAGTGTCCTGTCTGGAGGCACAATCACCTGCCTGCACCGCTGTCTGTATCACTGTGTCCGGCTGAGGAGGCCTGCAATCTTGTTATCCAGATTTTCACATCCTCTCGATTTTTCAAGTATCTTGAAAAGACAAGAAAACCTGCGTTAAAAAAAAAAAAACAGGCGTAATTAGTTTAAGCAGTATTGACACTAGTAATAGAAACTAAAACGTATACTCAAAGCTCCATAAACACTGCTTTAGTTACTTATATTCTCATATTCTCACAATCCCAGAAACTATAAAATTAGCATCCTGCAAAACAGGTCAAGACAAAAAAAAAGACCAATCAAAGCTTAAAACAGACATCAGAGTCACTGACCCACAACAAAGACTACCTCAGAGCAGAGAACACAAGATGCAAATACACGTGCACTGAATCTTACGTCTCCAAGTAACTACAAAGTGCAAAAAGAAAGCTAGTAGATGATTTCCTAACTGATCAAGACCTCAGATATTCTCGCATCTATGCATCTCTACTTCAGATTGTTCATTAAACCTCTATGGTGGTAGACATAAAAAATGCTGGGCTTTGTAGCTACTTTCTTTTTTTTTTTTTGGTTTATTATCTTAACATTGAATTTTATTTTTATTGGAAAGTCAGAGAGGAAGAGAGACAGAGAGGAAGATCTTCTGTCCAGTGGTTCACTCCTAAGAGGCTGCAATGGCTGGAGCTGAGCCAATTTGAACTTGGAGCCCAGAGTCTCTTCCGGGTCTCCCATGTGGGCGCAGGGGCCCAAGGCTTTGGGCCATCCTCGATTGCCTTCATTGGCCACAAGCAGAGAGCTGGATGGGAAGTGGGGTTGCTGGGATTAGAACCAGTGCCCATATGGGATCCTGGTGCAAGGTAAGGACTTTAGGCACTAGGCTACCATGCTGGGCCCAACAACACTGAACTTTCATTAAACTTGTATGCTGCTATATACAGTAATTGGTTGGACAGCAAAGGGACAGGAAAAAAACCTATCATTTAACAAGAACAATCATGACAGAAGCAAAAAATTTGAGTCAAGACATCCTATATCCACAAAATCTTTAGTTTTAAGATTTTAAGAAATATTTATTTATTTATTTGAAAGGCAGAGTTAGAGGGAGAGTTATCCATTATTCACTGGTCACTCCCAAAATGGCCTCAGTGGCCAGAGCTGGGCCCAGCGGAAGCCAGCAATCAGGAGCCTCCTCTGTTTCTCCTATCTGAGTGCAGTGGCTCAAACACGTGGGCTGTCCTTTGCTGCCTTCCCAGGCACAGCAAGACACTGCAGGCATTCCAAAGCATCCTATTCTTCAAAAACCTTTTCTACAGTAAATAGAAACACAGAGTACACACAGATTGAAAATATCACCCCACTACTGTAGGCTCTTGCCAGCAATTGCTCTGCAATTCCTACTCAAGAGTGCGTCAGGTATGATGGGAGTCAATGCACAGTAGTAAAAGGTGCGAAGCTGATAGTCTTCAGAGACCTGCAACTTCCTAAGGCTCTCAGAAATTACTGCTGTCGTGAGAGGTCTTCCCTCAGGGGCAGTTCTCATTTCCATGGCCATGGCTGACATTGTTACTTCAAATCTTCTTTGTCAGTATTCCCACCTGTTAATACCTGTTACATGCTTAAATCATCCTCATTAATTGGACAACAGAGCTACTGGAGTGTGGTTATTACCTCAAGAACTACATTCTCAAGTTGAAGAGCAAGAGCTACCCAAACCAAAGGCAACAAAGCAAAACCCAGGACCAGACCTCAGGATGCTGTATGTTCCAGCGCTCCACCTTTCATCTCAGGCATTCTGCAGACTGCTGTCTGTAACCATCTTGGTGGAGAGCACAAATGCTCAAACAACTTAAGATCGGCTAAAACGTCTTGCCTCAATGTGAAAGCCCAATCTTTTATGTTTTTTCTGCAGGTTTTCTCATAAAAGCTTTTCATGGGTTCAGTGTGGTAGCCTAGTGGCTAAAGTTGCTGCCTTACACACAGCCAGATCCCATATGGGTGCCGGTTCTAATCCCAGTGGCCCCATTTCCCATCCAGCTCCCTGCTTATGGCCTGCGAAAGCAGTGGAAGACACCCAAAGCCTTGGGCCCCTACGCCCATGTGGGAGACCTGGAAGAGACTCTGGGCTCCTGGCTTCGGATCGCTGCAGCTCCAGCCACTGTAGCCTCTTGGGGAGTGAATCATTTTAGGGAAGATCTTCCTTTCTCTCTTTCTCTCCTCACTCTGTATATCTGACTTTCCAATAAAAATTAAAATAAATCTTTTTTTGAAAAGCTTTTCACACACTGGAAGAGAATAAGTTAAGCTTTATTTCTTTATTTTTTATTATTTCATTTTATGACACAGTTTCATAGGCTGCGGGATTCCCTCAAACCCTCCCTAAGCTCTCCCCATATATTGAATTCCTCCATATTGTTACAGTAGTACAGTTCATAACCAGTCATGATTCCTTCATTGCGGGCATGAACCATGCAGAGAGTCCAGCATCTTATTGTCCAGATAAGTTCAACAGATTCATTGGGAGACCATCCTTGGTCTGAAAGTAGAGCTGGCAGAATATCACCCCATCCAGTGAAAAGCCACTACACAACTTCAACAACAGGAAAGAAACATACAAATTTACAACATCATGAAGTTAATTGATATGGTATTGAGTGACCAATATGTTAGAAAATGTACGTTCTTATCCATACTCTGTAACTATTTCATTGACATCTCAATTTTAATATAAACACAGCCGGCTGCTATACACCTTAAAATGTCTATAGGGTACTATTCAGCTGTCTCTGTCTATTTTCATTTTTATATTTAGCCACTAACAGTATTCAAGCATGATTTTTACTAAATTTTGCGGATTTTAGGATAGTCCAAACAGGCTTATAATTCTAACAAGTCATATATTAAAAGCTTTATTATTTTCAAAGCTAAACGATGCTATTTCATTTGCTTCATGAAATTTGAGAAAAAGCAATTCTCAAGAGATGCTATTCAATTCACAAAACATTTTTAGATAGCGCAGAACCAAAGACGAAATCAAAAAAACAAAACAAATTCTTTACTCAGCTTTAGGATTCATTTTCTCCCCTATATAGAAAAGTGTTTTATTACACGTTGAAGATATAAAAGTGGATGACTCAACTGAATGAATCAGTGACATACTTTTTGAAGGTAAACTTCTACCTAATTCCCAAAGGTGCTAAGGAAACAACCTTAGAGGCAGGATACATGCTTAACTCCCATCCATCTATGTGAGCTTGACAAGCTAAGTTTCTTACGTTTACTATACTGAATTTCCTCAATTGTATAACAATAGAAATAGTGCTGAGATCAAAGGGTTGTAATGACAACTAAATGAATTACTAGTGATGTAAAAAGCTTAGCGCGATGACCAGCACATTACAATACTAAATGATTAGGATCACGTTACATAACAGAGAACATAGCTAGGAAGTTATGGATAAGAATATGTGGTTTGACTCCTTCTTCTTCCTCCTTTTTAAAACTTTTTTTTTAAACTGTATTTTGTACTTCATTTCCTAACTGCATGATGCTGAACACTTGGTGCAACCTACTTCCTTTTTTATTTTTCTTAAACCATTCTGAGGAATGAATGACATGCCAAAAACTACATATTTAACATTAAAATCACAGAATTTAACTATTCACATCCTCAGGTATGTCATTGGGAAGGTAAGATCATCAGATGTACTTCATGGGCTTTTTTCGGTATTGAATTAAAACTATTAGAAAGTACAATCTTGGAATACCAAGATTGTTAAAGTTACTCAATATCTGATTCTACTTACAAATCAAAAGAATTTTTTAAAGTGTAGTTTTGAATGTGAATTTTCTGTATAATAGTGTAATCAATAGGAACACACCTACCCACATTCATACATTCTTACTCACCTCAGTGAATAAATGAATGAATACAAGCAATGGCTGAGAATGTTTGATTTAAGATAACACTTTTTAAAAAGCAATTAAAAGAAAGAAAGAATTACCTATAAAACAGGAATCAATGTTTAATCAGAAGGGTGCTCAGGGCAAGACCTATTTACTTCAAACCATTCATCTATACACCTAGAAAAGAACAAACCCAGAAAAAAATGAAAATATGCATGCTAATTATTAATATCATGAGTCATAAGAACAATTCTCCCATCCGAGTACTAACCAGGCCCGACCCTGCTTAGCTTCCGAGATCAGACGAGATCAGGCGCATTCAGGGTAGTATGGCCACAGACATAAGAACAATTCTCAACTTACTGTATCTTTGCCAAAACTGTATTTTTAGCATTGGCACATATAAGTAAAAGAAAGCAGTATGCTTATTACATTTTGAATACTGTAAGCCACTAAAGATCTGCATAAAATTAAACTATAAATTATTTTAAACTTCAAAGAGAACTATTTCAAAAACAACAATCTGAAGGACTACCCCTTTACAAACATGCAAAAGTAAATGCATTTGGATATTTTTCTTTGCAAAATTCATTTAATGCACACATATCAACTGTTTGTATCATAAATTTAAAATCATCTTAAAAGACTGTATATTATTATTGAGCATGTTCTGTCCTACCTGGCAATGTATACACACACAAACACCACAAGTTGCACTTATGAAGTAGCTCATGATCTTATTAAAAACTAAATGTTAAGGTACATAAAATCATCCACGCTGTAAATCCGCACCATCCAATGCAACAGACAAGAGTTCTAGGTGCTCATTTAAATATGTTACAAAATAAAATAAAACTTTTAGTTTCTCAGTCACAATAAACACATTTCAAATGCACAACAATATGGCTAGTGGCTACTCTACTGCTGTACAACACAGAAACTTTCATAGAGCACCAAGATCTAAATCACAGGCTATGACAGATGACTAAAACCAAGGTCTTCAAAGTTTAAGTAACTTGCCCAAGAGTTAATCCGCAAGTAAAACTCAAACTAGTCTACATTTTCATTGGTTATGCACTTCAAATTCACATGTGGTAGGCTTAGTTAATATACTGAAAAGGAAAGTTTGTATTTATCATTGTCATAACCTGCCCAGTTGGTTTGGTAGGTAGAACACGTAGATGGGGGCAGTGCTTAAGTTGCCCCTCGGGACACCCACAAGAGTGCCTAAGCTCAAGTCCTAGCTTCCAGAAAAAGGCACATTGTTGTTACAATTTCTATGTTCACTAAGACTTTTGTTTTCTAAAGGCATCCTCCATTTGGTGTAAGACACTGTTTCCAGTCTGCCCTCTTCCAGTTGGCTTCAGAAGTCTCTGCTCTCCCCAAACACTTCTTGAGGTGCTGAGAACTGAACAAAATACTTCAGATAGCTGATCAATTCATAACAGTGTTCATGCGATCTGAAATCAGTACTTATTCTTTTACCATGTAATTCAGGCACATAATGAGATAAGAATCATTTAAAATTCCAAGTCCTTTTGACATAAACTACTATTGTCCCAAATGTGTTACACTTTAAAATACTTTCATTGGTTATTTCAAATACTATATCCCTTCTCCTAGCACACCAAGAACTCATTATTCTTACTTTGGTGCTTTTTATTGTCAGGCTTTATAAAAACCCTGTAATTGTATATGTGTACATTCCCAAGCAATATATAGTACTATTTGTATGCTTAAAATTTTAGATAAGGGGTAAGAGTTTAGCCTAGTGGTTATAAGGCATTTGTGTCACATATCAAAGAAACTCAGCTTCAAAACTTGGCTCTGGCTCTTGCCTTTAGCTTCCCAATATGTAGATCCTGGAAGGCAGCAGTGATGGCTCAAATAATTGGGATCCTGCCATTTGGGAAACCTAGATTAACTTTCCTGGCTCCAGTTTCTGTGCCCCTTCTGAGCCCTACTGGGTTCTTGACACACCAGGTATTTGGGGCCTGCGGGAGATCGCCCCTGGATCTCCACCTGCCTAGCCCATATTGGAGGCAATAGGCACATGGCACATTGTGCCCTTAGCTAACAGACCCCAACATGGCCTGTTCACTGGGCATGCAATAAGAGCCATGGGTTGCACCCCAGTCTCTCTTGCCTACTCTGCTAGGACTTTCTTTGTAAACAATTCTAGGAAGTCCAATGTTACATTCATCCTGTTTTTCAGCAGTTAACGAGCCTCCCTGAAATAAAATTTCCTGTGCTTCCTGACCTTTAACTTCATTGGAGCATCCATAACAGACATGTCTATTAGCAAGTCATAACGTTATTGTTCTGTCAGGACTGTCCTTCTGACTGAGCACTTCTCCTATAAAAGCTTGTGACTTCTCTCAAATAAACGGACATTCTTCACCAGTTTGTCTCCAGTGTTTTTGCTGCAGAAGAGCACTGCTGCCTCACCCTTTGGTGGTCTCACGACCTGTTGGACAGAACACCCCAGAGAGGGGGTCACACAGATGGGAGCTCTCCATATCTCCATCCTTCAAATTAATCACTTTTTAAGTTATGTGTTACAGTGAATAACATTCTTCTTTAACTTGCTTTTTGAATAGCTACTCTAAAAAAGCTACTACAAAGGTATTACCAAAAAAGTTACTTAAAGAATATTTTTTATTCAAAACTTTCAGTAAGTATGTTTAATAAATACACCCAATCCAGTCTAGTTTGTTACTTTCCTGAGATGTTAAAAGTCTAATTTTTAAGTTGTAATATAGTCAAATTTATCAACCTTTCAAGTTTTTTTGAGGATGGTAAGGATGTACCCTAGACAAAAATAATTCCTTGGAGTCCACATTGTGGAGGGTGGCTGCCCCATTGCAATACAGCTCCCTAGTAATACAACTGGGAAAGCAGAAAAAGATGGATCAAGCCTTGGGCCCTTGTACCTACAGGACAGAGAGACCCAGAAGAAACTGTTAGCTCTTTGGATCAGTCCAGCTCAGGTCATTTGGGGAATAAACCAATGGATGGAAGACCTCCTCCCTTTCCCCTGACTGTGTGTGTGTGTGTGTGTGTGTGTGTGTGTGTGTGTGTGTGTGTGTGTGTGTGTGCGCGTGCGCGCGCGTGTGTGTGTGCCCTGCTTTTTGTTCCCATGTCACTTTAGGGTTTCATTTTATAGGTATATATTCAGTCAGCTTGAAATTGATTTTCATTTCAAATGTGCGATAGGGATTCAACTATTTTCCATATAATAACCAACTGATAAATATCATTTGCTGAGCAATCTGATCTTTCCTTATATCATACCATCACTAATAAATCATTTTTAATCCACTCAGCAAACATTTTACAACATTTATTAGGTCCTAGCACATTCCAAGCTTTTTAAAGTTTTATTATTTATTTGAGAGGCAAAGTCAGAGAGAGAGATGAGAGAGAGATATCTTCCATCAGCTGGCTCACTCCCCAAAGCCCCAAATAGCTAGGGTTGGTACAGGCAGAAGTTGAGAGCCAGGAACTCCATCCAGGTCTTTTATGTGACAGGGACCCAAACACTTAAACCAGCATCTGCTCCTTCCCAGGTGCAATAGTTGAAAGCTGGACTGGAAGCAGAGGCAATTTAATATGGAATGCAAGCATCCCGATGAGAGGCTTAACCCACTGTGCCACAAGTCCAGCCTCAGTTCCAAAATCTAATTTGCTTCAATTTTTCTATTTCTATGAAATCATTACTGTTGTTGTCATTTCAGACTGATTAAAAAAAAAAAAACCTAGGTGATTTGACCAACAGCACACAGTAAATAAGCGGAGTGAGTGGAAGTGGGGACAAATCCTGGGCATGCCAACTCCAGAATCCATGTTTGGAAATTCAGAGACAGGACCCTCAATCCACATATTCCAAATGAGTGGCATTATCTGCTGCCTCCCTCAGCATACATCCACAGGAAGCTGAAACAGTGGAGTTAGGGACCCACAACCAGGCACTGTGAAATGGGGAACGGGTATATCAAGCAGTGAGACAGATTTCTACTTTTTTTTTGGAAGGAATGTAATATTGCTAACATGGTGCTCTTTGGGTATCTGCTAGAATTTGTCAGACTGTCTCTGTGGGCCTCTCATGAGGGTGGTAAGCACCCAATCATTTGACCTGTTCCACTCGTTCCTTCCAATGGCTGCATCGGCAGGTGCTAAACCCAGGAACTCCAATAAGTGATACAGGAATCTTACTGATACCTTTAACACAAAGTTCAATGAACTTAATACACTTTTATCATTATATAATGAGTCTAACTCTAAAAGTGCTTTCTGACATAAAGTTTACTTTGATGTTAATTTAGTTTTGTCAAGTTTTCTTTTTGTTAGTATTTACCATGATACAGTTTTTGGTCCTTTCATTTTCATATTTTTCTATAACCTATGTGTTTCTTATCAATAACATATTCCAACTTCTCAAATTGGCAAGTCTGCCTGGTTTATTAGATTTATTAGAATTACTAATATATTTGGATTTGCTTTTTCCTCCTTACTTTGTGTTTCACTCTGTTTTCTGTATGCTTTCTTATACTATCACCTTTAAGCAAAATTGTACTTCATTTCCCCACAAGTCTAAGTTTGTTTCCTATTCTATTTCCCAGTTACTCTCAATTTAAAAAAAATTTTTTTTAATCTTTAATTTATTCAAAAGACAGAGAGACAAAGATCTTATGCACACTAACTCGCCCTCCAATGCCCTCAACAGCTAAGCCTGAGAAAGGTTAAAGCCAGGAGTCAGAACTCAACCAAGGTCTCCTATGTGGGTGGCAGGGACCCATGGCCTTTATCACTTGCTGCCTCCCAGGTGTGCATTAGCTAGGAAGCTGGAATTGGAAGCAGAGTCAGGACTCAAACCCAGGTACTTAAAGATGGGATGCAGGCATCTTAATCACTGTGCCAAACACCTTACCCACTGTATTGTTTTGATATGAAAATATTCCTTTACCAATCTGAAAGCAAGAAGACTATACAAAAAAATCAGATCTTAGCTCTACTATTTTCTAAGCATAGAATCTTGGAGAAATTCCTTACCGTCCCGTAGCTAATTTCCTCAGTTATAAAATGAAGCTGTCACAAGATTTACACAAGCTGCTGAAGAAGCTATGGACAATGCCTTTGTCATAGCAAAATACTTACAAATGGTAGCCTCTGACACACAAACAGACATGGGTTCAAGTCTTAGTTCCAGCAGGAACAAAAGGCCATTTTTAAGGGGTCTATATGTTTGTGTGTATGTACATGCACACAGAAAGAAGGGGAAGTTGTTGAATGAAAAAATATTCTCAGTCCTATCTACAAGCGAGAAAAGCTTTTAGTCAACTATCACCTTGTTAACATAAAAAGAAACTTACCCTTTATGATATATGCATAGACAAGGCAGTCGTGCTATGGTGTCTCCCTGCTGCAGTTCTTCAAGGCATATTGCACATTCCCCAGCATCTTTACTCAGTACATCCTCTGAAGGAAGAGAAAACAAGCTCAGGATGAAAAAAAAAACTCTTCATAAGTTAAACATGAATTATATAATTGCTATTTTATAAACAGTGGCTATTCTACAATACTTGGCATTATCTTTTTGTCAAAAATATACAAAACTGAGTATCCACATAAAATACTCACAGAGGAGTAAAAGGATGATTACCTTTACTTCATTAAGACAGTGTCCCCCACTTCCCACTCACTGAGGCATTATAATAAGCAAAAACACAAATCAGCTTGGTTTGGGACCCAAGATAGTTTTAAAAAGTTCAAAATGCAGTGTGACTCAAAGACATGAAAATACAGTGCTATTTTAAAATTCTAAAATTACAAAATTGGATAAGTTAAAGAAATCATCCTGAATGTGACACTTACAAAAAGCTGCTTATAATTCAAGAAAGATAGAAAGTTTTTGTACAGAATTTGAAATTTGCAAGCTTAAGAATCTCTGAGAAACTGGCTTCAGTAGTTCCCCACCAGCCTTCAGGGTATTTTTAAAAAATCTCCTAACTTGTGTTCAGAATATTTTAAGGGTAAACCCCTTTATTAAAGCTAAAATTCTATAGGCGGCAGGAGAGAAGAGAGTAGAACTGAACCCTCAATTCAAGTTTTATGCTCAAAATAATATCAACTATACTTTAATGTGAAACTTGAATTATTTTAATATTTATTTATTTGAAAGAGTTACAAGAGACCTTCCACCCACTAAAGGTTCATTGCCTAAATGGCCACAATGGCCCAGGCTGAGCCAGGCTGAAGTCAGGAGCCAGCACTTCAATCAGGTCTCCTATGTGGGTGGCAGGGGCCCAAAAACTTTGGTCAACTTCTACTGCTTTTCCCATGCCATCAGCAGCAGGGAGGTGGATCAGAAATGAAACAGCTATAATTCAAACTGGTTGCCACACAGAATGCCAGCATAGCAATTGGCAGCTTAATGAGCTACACCACAATGTTGACCCCTAAACTTTAATTCTTAGTAGGTTCTTACTTAAAATAGAATATGTAAGCCAAATAGGTTTTGGGGACTTACTTAACTGCAGAGTAGCTAAGACCTTCCAACGCTAAAGAGCATGGATAAACTGATCAAGAGCATGTAACTTCAGTGATTTCAGAGAACAGAAAGTTAAAGTAAGAATACACACTATGATTTTATACTACAAACAGATCACTGCTTTCAGAAATAAACACAAACTCAAAGTGGAGCAACTAAGCCAATGTCTACCTAAAAATTTAGAGAAAGGTATGCAAAGTTTCTAAACTTAGTATTTGTCTGGTGTTTCCACCCTCCTATAAAAACCATTCCATTTAAATGTACACATAACCAATAGTTCCTGGTAGAAAAACGTATTCTCTAATAGTTGGTTCTCTCCTTTAATTGTGTACTTTGAAGCAGAACATTAAGAGGAAAAACAAACAGTATTTGGTCTATAATATGCAAGGAGGGACAACAGGGTAACATTTTCAGAGCAAAAGGAAGCTCCAGTCAGAGCATTTGTGTTGCCTGCGTCCACAGAATGGTGGCAGCGCTTTCAGGTAGCTGTTGGGCAACTCTAAGGCCAAAGCAGGAAACATTTCTGAACAAGCAAAGGTGAATAAAGAAAAAAATGGTATTTTATTACCACTTCCCCCAGGTTCCCTTTGCATCTAATCTTCACAAGGCAGGGCACACTGCATCCTGCCTTGGACCCCAAGCCTTTTCTCTTCTTGATCTCCATTTTGCTATTACTCTTCTGGAATATCTTGCAATGGAAGATTCCAGTAGGAAATCTGCTTAACGTAAAGCACCAAACTAAGCTAACAGTGTGAACAAAAAGAAAGGCATCTGAAGCAAACACTAGAATACCTTAGTAAAGGCTAATACTTTCCAATAGTGCAGTATATTCCTACTATCCAGGTGTCTTTTCCATCACAAACTTTTATCAACATCACAAGGAACTATGTGAATGCAAATTCCAAAAACTTGAAAAATTCAACCACTGCTTATCAAGTCTAAGGCAACAATGATTTTGAGATGCGTCAGTAGTTTTTCATGGCTCTAGGTAAGAAAACAACACCTCCATTATCCTATGACACAACAATTTTAGATATGTCTGATTTTCAGAGCCGCAAGGTGTGACAAAGAAGTCTTAGAACAGACAGACAAGGGCATTTTCCCACATTCAGAAAATCATTACAATGCATACAGATTTAAGTATGAGGGAACCATTCAATCTCATGTGTCATAATCTTAGAAACTGAGAATAATCAGCTTTATTTTTAAAAAATAAAGGTTTCACTCCATTTTTGCCATATGTAACTCTATGTAACCAACTCCCAATACCAAATAGAAATAAGGAGAAACTCTCTAAGCACAGGCTTCTGAGCACAATGTATTAGGTTTACAACGCTGCAATGTTGACATATGACGAGGTTACATGGCTTTATTGCACCAGGTGTGTAAGGCCTTTGAGATAAGAATCATTTATGTATATACACACATACACTCACTTTTTCTTTTTAATTGGAAAGCAGATTTACAGAGAGGAGAGACAAAGAAAAAGAACTTTCATCCACTGGTTCACTCCCCAGGTGGCCACAATGGCCAGAGCTGAGCTGATCCAAAGACAGGAACGTTCCAGGTCTTCCACGTGGGTGCAGTCCCAAAGCCTTGGATCATCCTCAACTGTCTTCCCAGGCCACAAGTAGACTGCTGGATGGGAAGTGGAAAAGCTGGGACACGAATCTGTGCCCATATGTAATTCTGACGAAAGCAAGGTGAGGATTCAGCCATTACCTATCTTGCAAGGCCCCATTTTAACATAATGTCTCAATTTTATTCTATTTATAAGAAAATATATAGTGTAACCATGACAAACTCAATTTTCATAATTAATGAATGCTATATATTTTAATAATACTATCTTTAAATTGACAGGGAAAAGATTTTCTCTTGGATGCTTCACATGAGCCAAGCTTAAAAAAATCATACATGGGAAACTAGATTTTCTACCTTTGCCTATACCTATAGTGCTGTGATACTCTTAAATAGCAGACTACTAAACTTGCAACTGTTACTAAAGGACTATACTAAGGGAGGGGGAGAGGGAAAATTAGGGAGGGAAGGAGGCAGGGAGAAGAAGGGGAGAGGAGAGGATGGAAGAATCCCTACACCTACAAAACTATATCATGGAAAATAATAGCAACAATAAAAATAACTTGTTTTAAAAATTCCACATGATTTGATTCAAAATGCTATATTAAAAACACACGTCAACATTAAGTTCTAGTACTAAAAATAATCCGAACTACCTTTTCTATATTAGTAAAGTACACAAACAAATGAAAATCGCCCCTAACACCATGATTCCGAGCAAGAAGCAGCCCAATATCCACTATAAATGGCTTCTAGTGAAATCATTTCTGCTCAGGAAACGAGAAGCTACTCTTAACAGATTGTAGCCTCTGCTACTCTGTCTGATATGCAATCCAATCAGAGGGCAGTTCACTTTTCTTGTAAAACCTCATGATTACTGTCTCAAATAGCAAATGCTTAATTCTCAAAATTTAAAGTCTTTTTTCCCCAACAGAATCTGTATGTTTGGAAACATTTTCATCTTTGAGAACTCCTTGTGCTGAGAGATTAGTTTTTGTCCACTTGGCAGTTTGCTGACTATCCCTCTCTCCCACTCCCACTATGACTGAGAACTAGGTTTCACTTCCCAGAAACTACAGACGACTTGTCAGTAATGAGATACAAGCACAGCTCACACAAGGCCAGGAAACCATTCAAACTTCCCCACTAATTCAGTGGAGGCATTCATGAAGATGCTACCCACAGGGGTGGTGAGGACCAACCCTTCAGGACTAGAACACCTGCTCAGAGAAGGGAACATCAATAGGTCTAACTACCAGTAGTGAGGTAGTTTTGATTTCCCCTCCACAGAACTGACCAATGCAGACCCATTAAGACTGCAGCTAGGAAGCCACAGTGACACTGTCTTCTCCAGTGTCCTTACTTTCTTATCTAAATATCTGTAGCAAAAAAAAAAAAAAATGTTAAGTACACTACTTATTCAATCTAACTCCTTGTCTTACAGAGACTAAGCACTATCAGGTATATGAATATAGAAAAGGAAGTCAAGACAGGAAAGGAGCACTATTTTCAAGTACAAGTGAGTAACAAAGTCATCTGGAGGTGCATTCTGTCTTCACATGGAAAAAACAAGACATACATGATCCCCGTCCCTACAAATTCTGAAATGTGCCCTGCCTAATATAGCTGCCAAAAAAGGAATAGTGTGTCAAACAAAAAGGTTTGAAGTTGAAAACTTCATGAATTTCCATTCTATTAGCTATATAACCTTGAAAGTGTAAAGTGAATGTCTTTTCTTTTACTCTTATTAAACATCAGCATACTAACAGTACTCAAAATATTGTAGAGATGAAGTTGTAAATAATTGTATATGAATAGGTGGAGGCTTAATATGCCATGCCACAGCACCAGCCCAAGAATTTTTTGTGGAAAAAAACTTTGTAAGTAACAAAAATACTATACATAAGTTAAATTCTTATTACTTGGAAATTCTCTCTCTCTCTTTTTTTTAAAGATTTATTTATTTTTATTGGAAAGTCAGATATACAGAGAGGAGGAGATACAGAGAGGAAGATCTTCTATCTGATGATTCACTCCCCAAGCGGCCTCAACAGCTGGAGCTGTGCCAATCCAAAGCCAGGAACCAGGAGCCTCTTCTGGGTCTTCCATGACGAGCAGGGTCCCAAAGCTTTGGACTAATCTGTACTGCTTTCCCAGGCCACAAGTAAGGAGCTGGATGGGGAGCAGGGCCACAGGGAACAGAGCCAGTGCCAGTATAGGATCCCGGCTTATGGAGCTCTCTAAAAGCAAGAGTGATCATTATCCTGGTTTTTCTCCTCACCCTAATATTCTTGTTGCTTCAGGTTTATACAATGTCGACAAATAACCCCATGAAAACCAGGAATGA